AACTTAAACCTTCCAAAAGTAGGGCTGATAGAATGGGTTTGGGTTAGTAATCTGTTGGAGTTGTATATTGTTTAGGTTTAAAGGAGCATCTCATTTGTCACAAAAGCAACTAACATCACCCCCCTCCCCCCATTGAATCGGCTCAAGTTCTCTTTCTAAATCATAGCTGTAACTTTGGAGATATCAATGAAATATATGTGGAGATCAAACAATTCTATTGTTACAAGGAAACATAAGCAAGTGAATGCTGATTATTCTTAAAGGGCTTCTTAAATAATAGTATTTTGTTAATATTATAGTTATCTAGTGAATGTTATGTGCAACTATGGTTTCAGGGATTTTATACTTACTAACTCATTGATTTTTTTTTTTCAACGTTTATTTATTTTTGGGACAGAGAGAGACAGAGCATGAACGGGGGAGGGGCAGAGAGAGAGGGAGACACAGAATCGGAAACAGGCTCCAGGCTCCAAGCCATCAGCCCAGAGCCCGACGCGGGGCTCGAACTCACGGACCACGAGATCGTGACCTGGCTGAAGTCGGACGCTTAACCGACTGCGCCACCCAGGCGCCCCCTTACTAACTCATTTAACCTCAAACAATGCATAAAAAAATTATTACTGTTCCCATTTCACAAGCAGAAAAAAAAAATTGAGGCAAGAAGTTAATAAAGCTTGTCAAAGACTACATAGCTAGATGCAGAGACAAGATTCCAACCCAGCCCATCTGATTTCAGAAACTGGTTCTCTTCACCACTCTTCTGGAATGGATTTATATGAAAATTGAAATAGTGAAATCAATCAATGCACAAACAGACTTAAAAAAAAAATCTTAATGCTTTAACCATAATTACATAAAAACCTCCAGCAATGGGTTAGTGCCAGTAGAGGGTTTATCTTTCCAAATGTGTAACTTGTAAGATAAAATCTCCATTGTAGCAAAGCCAACAGCACTCTCTCTTCTTCCCCCCTCTTCGAAGACTCCAGTGAGGTTGGCTGCTATTGAACCAACATTCTTAGGGGCTGCGACTTGAATTGTGGGTTATAGCTTCAAAAGAGAATATACTGAAGCAACAAGTTGTATTTCTAAGCTCTATATAAACTAAAACCTTTATTAGAACATCCATTTGTAACTCAGATTGAGGCCTAAGAAGGTTAAGTGTCCCCTTAAAGCAAGATTTACAGAAAAACAAATCTTAACTATGATTTAGATAGCTTTTAGGCATTCTTTATCCATTTATCGCTGATCCTTGCCCAGATGCAGCTGATTCCCTAAGATTTTTCCAGCTTTGCTAGTGGTTACCTTTAGCTATTTGGGGACTTTTACATATTGCTCCTCTAGAGCAATCTCCCCATGAAAATTCTGGCATGGCATGTGGTAGAAAGAGACAACATCTGCTTCCGTAATTGCCTGGGTGAGAAAGTTCTCTATAGCTATTGCTTGTCCATAAAACAAAAGTCTAAAGTGGGACACAGGCCATCTCTGTAGGTTTTATGCAAAAAGGGCCAAGTGGTATAGTATAAAGAGTAGCAATTTAGCTTCCCTAAAAATAAATATCTTATGCAGATGTTGACTAAGCCGTCATACCACAAATGCCATTGTACTTGGAAAACGAGCAGGTGCTGTTGCATTGTCTTTGTGTTCTGCAATAGTGAACACACGGGTTTCAGTTCATGACCTTTTTAATCAGAAAAAAAGAAATGTTGTCTCTAAAGGAAGTATTAGCCTCAGAGGAGCAAACATAGGGTGAACCTAGACTACACAACAAATGGTTAACCCTTTGACTCAGTTGGAGAAGAACAGTGATTCAGACACAGACTTCCCTTTTCACCGGGTCCTTTCTGAGGATCCACACTTAAATGACTGGCTCATTTTGAAATGGGAGTTGCTGGGTTCATGTCAGGCTGAGACTTGGGGGGGGGGGGATGGTGCAGAGAGGAGAGTGGAATTAACCCTGAAAATTGGCAAATGCTCAAAATCTGAACAGGCCTAGTGAGAATTGGACTGGAGGCCAGAGAACATCCCCCTTGGTCTATTCCCTCAGTTCTTTCTGAGGTTGAAAGTTCAGCTGGCAAAAAACTAAGAAGATACTGGAGTACTGGAAAACATGGCTCCCAACATCAAGGAGCTTCCAGTCAAGGGAAGACTTGAAGGCTAAGAAACAGGAGTTACGTGGTTGCTGAGAACTCTCAAATCAAATTATTCAGAGAAGGTTATTGAGGCATTTGCTGGTAAGACTTTGTTTAAGCCAGCCTGTTACTTCTTTACTTGTAAAGTTGGCCTTTTTTTCCCACCTGCTTTCCCATCCATTGTCCTGGCATAACAAATAAAGACTAGGAAGTGGTGACTATACTTGTATAACACACCGAGTTTAACTTAAAATCCTGGGCCAGCTAAGCTCAGCCATCCACTGAGAAGGCATTTCCTGGGTACCCCCTAGGTGCAAGGTTTTGTTCTAGGCACACAGATAGATCAGACATAGTCTCCATCTTCAGGAATCTTATAACCAGCAGAGGGAGGCAGACAAAACTACAATTGGGGTACAGGCTAGTAAATGTAGTGCCAGAGGCATGCAAGGAGCACTATGGAAGCATAGTGGGATAAGGGAGAGCTTTCCAGAGGAGATGACATGTGTGATGTCTTAGAAAATGAGGAGTGTGATAGAGAAAGGCACTCTAGGCCAACTAAAGGCTCAGACATCAGTGTAAAACATGGTCCATGAGCAGGTAGCTCCAGGGGGCTGAAGTTTAGTGTTTGGGTGAAGGTTGGTGAGGGAAGGTAGGAACCAAGACTATAGAGAAGAGGGCAGATGGCAGGGGTGGGGGGGTGGGCCTTGAACTCCACAGAATCTGAAAGTTCTGGAGAGACCACTGGAGAGCTTTAAGGAACGGAGTGAACTGCTCAGAGCTCTTCTGGGGATGTCACTCTGAAAGCATGGAGGGTTAATGGAGAAGAGTGGCACAGAAGTCCAAGTGTGCTAAGTAAGCTACTATAGTAATCCTAGGGGTATGAACTGAGGCAAGAGCAGTGGAAATAGGAGGGAAGAAAAGAAAATTCTGAGTGGATATAGAAGGGAGAGGAACTGTGGATGGCTTCAAGGCTTCTGCCAGCGGGTGTGTGGGTGAATAATGGCACCTGCCCCCCATGCAGGGAATGCAGAAGGAATAAGTCTGAGAAAGGAGAGATAGCAAGATGAGTTTTAGATAGATTGCAGTGTGTCAGGGACATCCAAACAGAGGTGATGACCAGCAGCCGTCATTTTAACATAGGGGACTGGTCTCAGGAAAGACTGAGGAGTCACCAGTGAAAGAGGTATGGGTTGAAACCGATGAGTTGGATACAGTCACTTGGTGAATACTCTGAGCAGAGCAGAGGCCTGAGGACAGAGTCTGAGGACTGCCAACTCAAAATTCTTATGGGGGGCTGAATGACAGGTGAGAAGATTGGACATCAGCTGGGAGTGTGATGCCTTAGAAGCCCAAAGAGAAGATTGTTACCAGAAAAATGAAGAGATTCGTGATATCCATTACCACACAAAGAGGTCAAGAAAGACAAGGTCGGAACATATTCCCTAGATATGACAAATTGGAGGTTGCTGGTGACCTAAAGTGAAAGCAGTTGGCTGCAGGAGCAGAGATAATATCATGCATCATTGATCAAATGGATGAACCCTTGTCACATTGTCACACGGACAGACCCCAAGAATCCTGGGTATTGGTTCTAGAGAAAAGTAATAGGCAAAGCTATTTACCTTGTTAAAGAGCAGCAGAAATACTTTACTGCCTGTTTATTTGCACATAATGCCATGCTAAACAGTAGAAGGAGAATTAAACACAGTTTATGCATTCATGGAGCTCAAGCTCTTTAGTGCACAAGTATCAAGACTCTCACATTGGGTAAATTGACCAAAAAATAATCTTTTTTTAAATGGCTATTTCCATAGAGCGTGTTCTTACAGAATTCTAATCACAAGATGCTTTCAACATCCCAGAGAAGATTGTTCTGTATTCTGTTTGTAAAGAAGCTATAATCCAATCTTGATAATTTATGGTGGTGGTTAACCCTTGGTTTTCTTAAGTTCTTTCTCATAGCTCATTTCAATTTCTGCTGCTATATTTTTAGGGCTAGCCTGTTTCATTCCGACTTCAGTGGATAACAGATGGTTGCCATCTTCCATATATCAGCCCTTCTCATATTTGCAGATGAATAATAAATTTCCTTTCTGCTCGGAACTCCCCAGGCTACTTAGCTCTGATAGGGCCTAAAGAATTGATCTTGCAGAATACAAGAGGATTTCCTCATTAGTGGACAGACTGTTGATAAGCAGAGCAGGCAAGCACATGACAGAGGAGGTTTTTAATGAGAAAGAGAAGTGTGGAAAATACTAGTACGTCATTTAGTTGGCTTTTATGGTATTTTTTGGTGCTTTCGTGTGAATTTCTGCCCTGATAAGGAGAGGGGTTTGAACTTCTGTCTTGATGTTTGCATGGATGAATTCCCAAGAGGTTTGGATTCAGTCACTCCCAAAGTGCTTTTCCCCCAAACTTTCTGTGATTCCATGTAGACCATTTTTCCTTCCCTTATCTTGGTTCAGAGGTGTATTTTGCACAGGAGAACCTGATAATGGCAAGGCAGGAAGACTGAGGTCATGAACCCTTGCTTTGGATTTTGGTGGTAGAGATGGATACTGCTTTTGGTTATTGCTAGTGTGATCTGCTCTGTATGGTTTTAGTGAAGGCTGACTCAGAAATCATCAAAGCCACAATTAGGTGCAACTGTAGGATAAAATACAGGCCTTTCTGTATCATCGATCTGCTTTATACAAAAGGAACAGATACTGATGTTTAATTCTAAATTGACTCAGGTTACAACCTAAAGTTGTAAAAGGTAAGGCTCTTAATCCCTGAAGCCATAAATGTTACATAGTGACTCAAATTTTGCTTGTGTTCAACACATGGGTGACTACCTATAGATGAGCATGATTTCAAATTTTTATTTGGAGCTTTGCGCAGTGGCAGTATCGTAGCCAATGAGGTTTATCCGAGGCGCGATTATTGCTAATTGAAAACTCAAATTTTTATTTGGAATATGTTTACTTGTAAGTCACATGAGTTATTTAACATTGTGGGATACCAACCATACCCATTCCCCACATTTTGGGAAGAAGACTACAGTTGCTTTCCCTGTTTCCAGCTAGAACATCTGTGCCAAGGATAAAGTCAGATTGAAACCTAAGAACTTGGGGGCATTGTTTAGGGGTTCTGACTCCTCCCATTGAGAAGGAAATGTACTATTGTAGAGATGGAAAGACTTTGATTTCCCACCACGATCTGCCTCTCCACAGCTATGAAAAGGTCCCTTGTACATTTTGAGACCTCTTTGTCCTGGCTGTGAAGCACTTCATGGAACATGAAAAGTGTTTCTCATTCAAAATAGTTTTACATGCTGTTCTTTGAAGTTACCAGAAAGTCATTCAGCCTTGTCATGAAAAGGTTTGGGAGTGGGCTGGAGAAAGGAAAGGAAGGACCCACAAGTACTCTAACATAGATAGTGCTGGGTACATAGAGAACACTCAGTAACTTACTAGTTGGCTAGTTTTGCATTTTAAACTCAGATTCCCTAATTTTAGAGAAGTCTGTAAGATGATAGTTTTTCTTGGTGATTGATTTATAGCTGATAGATTGTCTTCTTAGTCCCTGTATTCAAATCCCACAAGGCAATATTATAAAGGCCTAGAGGAAATAAAAAAAAAAAAAAAAAGAATTGTGCCATGTTCTAGAGGAGCACACCTAGTGAGGGACCCACAGATAGTAGCCTTTGCTGATTGGAGGGTCTTGGATCAGCAGTGACTTAGTCTTTGGATCCTTGATTAAAAGAAAACGAGAACCACAACAATTGATCATTCCCCACTTACTTACCCTCTGTTATATCTAAAACTCCGTTCTTTTCTCTTGTGATTCCAGACCTGTATCAGAGTGTGTGTCAGCCTCCTCTGGCCCCCCAGCTATCCCCTCTGCCTGGAGTCTGTGGCAAGTCTCCATCTTCACTGTGCATCAGTCACCCAGAGAGACCTTCCATACCTGCACCCAGCACCCTTCCCTAGAGATTCCCATCATTTGGACTAGAGTAGGACTCAGGAATCAGTATATTTTATAAGTACTTCATATGATTCTTGTGTCATATATGGTTGAGCCCCACTGCTTTAAAGCAGAGTTAGATTTGGTTTTTTTCCTATAGACTCCTCAAAATGAGAGATACCCAGGAAAAAATGGTAACATAAAAATGAGTTGTTTCCTCCTTTCTTTCTCACCAAGCCCAGCAGAACTTTGTGCCTTGGGTTTCTGGGGCTTCCTTTTGCCCTGAAGTGATCTAACACTTATTTCCCAAAGTCTCTTGGAGGTGAAAATCTGGGTGGTCCTAGTTGGGGATGGGCCCTGAGGGTTGGACAGGATGAGGCTAAGAGACCAAACCTAGGGAAGTCTTATTTCAGAGGCAGCAGGGAAGGGCATTATAGGGGGCTTCATAGGTAGCAGAGATCTGCAACCCTGTTCATATACTCGTACACAGGAGATGGTAGGATGATGAACGTCAAGATGCTGGAGCTGAAACACCAAGATCTTGGGGACCACAGTCTCTGTGGCTAAGAAGGGTAAAAAGTAGAAGATACCTGCCATCAAATGGACCACACATGCTTGGATAATGAGCATATTAATAGCCATCTTGATGGGCTTGAAGACCAGCTGCTTTACTCCAAACTTTATGGACTGTATAAATCTCCTTAGATTATTATACAGACCTAAGAAGGGGAAAACTTTCCTAGCTGTGACTGAGATTGAAATGATTGTATGTAGGGATTCAGAACCATTACTATATTTAGAAAAAAAGCCAATATGGAATTTTTTTCATCTAAGGGATATGGAATAAATTTTAGTCTCTGTAACAATAGGAATCAAGCAATCAGGCTCAAATAGATTGACTGATCCCATCTCCTATGCTTTTAATTTTATTGCGTTTTCATTAGATTTTTTAAAAAAATTTTTTAACGTTTATTTATTTTTGAGACAGAGAGAGACAGAGCATGAACAGGGGAAGGTCAGAGAGAGAGGGAGACACAAAATCTGAAACAGGCTCCAGGCTCTGAGCTGTCAGCGCAGAGCCCAACGCGGGGCTCAAACTCATGTACCGCGAGATCATGACCTGAGCCGAAGTCGGACGCCCAACCGACTGAGCCACCCAGGCACCCCTGGATTTTGGTTTGGCAAAGAACTCCGAGGGATTTTGCTACAGGAGGGCATTGCATTTTATAGGCCTGTTCATAGAATGAGGGGGTTCTAGGATTTTTATGACAGGGCTTAGGGGCAGCAGTGTGGTAGTGCATGGAGGTGGGGGTAGTTAGTACCTGGTGGACAGAGAGAGTGGTCCTGGGGCTTGAAGTTGTATTTTCACTTGACAGAAGGTCAAGAAACAGATGGTATTTTATTTAAGAAAGAGGCAACTACCCTTCAATTAAAGCCTTCCAGCTGTAACACCTACCCCTTTCCAGCCCCAGTAAGGTTAGAAATTGAAAAAGCAGCACCGGCAAGCAGGAGTGGTGTCAACTATGAAGGTACTGAAATGCTTTCTTCACAAAGGAGCCTTGATACAGTGGGGGAAAACTTGGGTTTTGGAGACATACGGAACTGGATTTAAATCCTCACTTCACTAGCTTTGATGCATTTTTGTATTCCCAGGACCTGGCAGTGCATGACATATAATAGACCATAACAATGAATACTTAATAAATGAATGAATAATGGATGCCCAAAAGAAATAACTGTCTGACTCTGGGCAGTTTCTTAACCTGTGTGCCTGCGCTTAAGTGTCATCACCTGTAGAATGGGTATACTGAGAGAGGAGATTTTTGAAGATTGTATGAACTACAAAGTATGTAAACCAGTGCCTGGTGGAGCTTCCTTATATTTAAGTTGTCTTCTAGCCATACACCTTCCCTAGTGCTATAGTTTCACAGATTTGTGATAGAAGAGCGTTGCTGAATTGAAATCCTGAAGTGTGGGAAATTGTTGCACACAGTAGCCAAATTTCACCTCAGATTTGACTCTGAGAAATAAAGGCTGAATCCTGCCACCAGGGGATGTGTCAAGGAGAATTCCTGTTTCGAGAAACAGGCTTTGCTTGGCTTTCACAGGTCCTCTGTCTCTTCGTGAAGTGTGTCTTAGGATCCCAAACAGTGTCTGGTTTTTGTTTTTGTTTTTAATTGAAGTATAATTAACATGCAGTGTTATATTAGTTTCAGATATACAACATGATTCAACACTTCTATTCATGACTCCATGCTTGCCATATTATATTATTGGCTATATTCTCTATGCTATACCTTTCATCTTCATGACTTAGGTGCTCTGGGGATTCGTACCTCTTAATCCCCTTCATTCCACTCATCCTCCCATCCACTTGCCCTCTGACAACCACCAATTTGTTCTCTGTATTTAAGTCTGGTTTTTGCTGGTTTCTTTGTTCGTTTGTGTTTTTTAGATTGTACATACACGTGAAATCATATGGTATTTGTCTTCTGCTGACTTATTTCACTTATGACAATACCTTCTAGGTCCACCCATGTTCTTGTAAATGGCAAGATTTCATTATTTTTTATGGCTGCATAATATTCCATTGTGTAGATACACAACATCTTCTTTATTCATCTATTGATGGACATTTGGGCCTGTTCCATATCTTGGCTGTTGTAAATAATGCCGCAATAGATATAGGGGTGCATATATCTTTTTGAATCAGTGCTTTTGTTTTCTTTGGGTAAATACCCAGTAGTGGAATTCCTGGATCATAGGGTATTTCTGTTTTTAAATTTTTGAGGAGCCTCCATATTGTTTTCTAGTGATTCTACCAATTTACATTCCCATCAACAGTGCATGGGGGTTCCTTTTTTCTCCACATCCTCACCAACACTTACCTTTACTTGTTGATTCTAGCCATTCTGAGAGGTATGAGGTAATACCTCATTGTGGTTTCGATTTTCACTTCCCTGCGGATAAGTGATGTTGAGCATCTTTTCATGTGTCTGTTGGCCATCTGTATGTCTTTGGGAAACTGTCTATTCAGTTATCTATTCATTTTTAATTGGATTATTTGATTTTTGATGTTGAGTTGTAGAAGTTCTTTATATATTTTGGATATTAATGTTTTAACAGGTGTATCATTTGCAAATATCTTCTCCCAGTCGATAGACTGCCTTTTTGTTTTGTTGATGGTTTCCTTTACTGTGCAAAAGCTTTTAATTTTGATGTAGTCCCAATAGGAATTTTAGCTTTTGTTTCCCTTGCCTGAGGAGACCTATCTAGAAAAATGTTGCTAAGACTGATGTCAAACTATTGCCTATGTTTTCTGCTACCAGTTTTAAGTTTCAGATCTCACATTTAGGTCTTTAATCCACTTTCATCCACTTTGAGTTTATTTTTGTATATGACGTCAGAAAATGGTCCAGTTTCATTCTTTTGCATGTAGCTGTCCAGTTTTCCCAGCATTGTTTATAGAAAAGACTGTCTTTTCCCCATTGTGTATTCTTGCCTTCTTTTGACATAAATTAATTGACCATATAAGTGTAGGTATCTTTCTGACAGTGTCTGGTTTTGATTCCTGACTGTTGGGTACTCTTGGTCTACAGCTTTTTACTCAGACTTGACCCAATGTTTTGATCCACTATTTGTCCTAAACTTCATTATTTTAACTTGACGCATTTGTGACATGTTTGCCCCATATGGTAGGTATTAAGGATACAACACAAACAAGATGGAGATGAGAAGGATGTAATTCTTGGCTTCAAAACAGAAAATTTCTGTTAAGGGGATTTAGATCAGAAATCCAAGAGTTACAGTGCAGAGAAGTAGTTTCTGATAGTTTCTGATAGAAACATACACTAATCATGGGACAGAAAAAATATCAGGGAGGAAAGAGAAATAGCTCAAACATCCCTGAGTTCTTGTCTCTGTCTCACTCAGGTTCTTCTGGTCCTGGATTATATCATGTCTGCAAACCACTGCCACTGAAAACCAATTTGAGTCAATGTATATTACAGGATAGTCATCCACTTAGAATGGGAACTCCAGAAAGGTAGATGTGTGGCC